ACCTTCTTTGGGGGCCGCTATCTGCTCCTGCTTATGGGCCTGTTCTCCGTCTACACTGGCTTCATCTACAACGAGTGCTTCAGCCGAGCAACCGCCATCTTCCCCTCGGGCTGGAACGTGGCCGCCATGGCCAACCAGTCTGGCTGGAGGTGAGGCCCCGGCACCCCTCCCTGGCCTCTGCCTGCTCTCGGCCCCCCGGGACCCTAACCGCCCTGCCCACTGTTGCCGCAGCGACACGTTCCTGGCCCAGCACGCAGTGCTCACCCTGGACCCCAGCGTCAACGGCGTCTTCCTGGGACCCTACCCCTTCGGCATCGACCCGGTGAGCCGCGGCCACTCGAGTGCCCGTGGGGGATGGCGGCAGGGGGTGGGCAGCGCAGGGACTCCCGACGCCCAGCTGCTGTCGCTGGGCACCTCCGGCGTGCCAGGCCTGCCGAGGCACGGGGACACCAGGCGCCAGCCCTCTGGGCTGCGTCAGGGTCTCCTGAGCACGCAGAGGAACAAGGGCGGATGTCTGAGCCTTGCCCTCTGAGCCCTTGCTGTGAAGATTTTATATTTGATCCTCAGAACAACCCGAGGGGTGCACACAGCATTACCGCATTCTGTGGGTGGGGAGACTGAGGCACAGATGCCGCGCCCAAGTCGCCCAGCTGTGAGGAGCTGGGGCCAGAGCCATCTGGCTCCATCTGTGCTCCGTTGCCCCTCGATGGGCAGGCCCTGTCCTGGGCACGGGGGACAGGCCAGGTGCCTGCCCTGGACAGGTGGCCAGGTGACAGATAGGGCTGTGTCCTCACGGGGTGGGGCTTCCTGGCCGCAGTGGCCGGGGAGCCTCTGAGCTCGGCCTGCCCTCCTGCCCCAGGTCTGGAGCTTGGCTGCCAACCACCTGAGCTTCCTCAACTCCTTCAAGATGAAGATGTCCGTCATCCTGGGGGTCACGCACATGGCCTTCGGGGTGGTCCTCGGAGTCTTCAACCACCTGTGAGGGCCGGGGCTGCTGGCGGGGCATGGAGGCCGCGTGGGGGTTGGGCCCCGGTGACCCCACCGCCCTCCTCCCCTCCCCCGCCAGGCACTTTGGCCAGAAGCACCGGCTGCTGCTGGAGACCCTGCCAGAGCTCACCTTCCTGCTGGGGCTCTTTGGCTACCTCGTCTTCCTGGTCGTCTACAAGTGGCTGAGCGTGTCGGCCGCCAGCGCCGCCTCGGCCCCCAGCATCCTCATCCACTTCATCAACATGTTCCTCTTCTCCCACAGCCCCACCAACCTGCCACTCTTCCCCCGGCAGGTGGGCGGGGGCGGGGAGCAGGGCTCACGCAGCTCACGCGTCCTTGTGGTCACCGGGCCGCTCAGGGCTGCGGGGTGCTCATCCGGGAGATGGGGTGCAGGCTGGGAGATGGGGTGCAGGCCGGGAGATGGGGTGCAGGCTGAGGCTGCACAGAAAGGGCGGTCGGAGGCGACGGTGCACGGCTCTGAGCAGGGCAGCTCGCTGTAGGTGCTGGAAGCCTGAGGTCCCTTCTCCCAGGAGTCTCCTAGGAGCCATCGCCCCTCCGGGCACTGGGGAGGAGGGACTGCAGGCTCTCTGGGCCCGTGCGATTGGTGTGACCCAGGTTCCTGGGGGACTCGCCTGTGCACGGTGGGGGACACCCTGACTCGCACCCTCTCGCCGGCAGGAAGTGGTACAGTCCACACTGGTGGTCCTGGCCTTGGCCACGGTGCCCGTGCTGCTGCTTGGCACACCCTTGTACCTGCTGCGCAGGCACCGCCGCCGCCGCTGCCTCCGCCACTCACAGAGGGCCCCCGCTGGCGGGCAGGTAGGGCCGGGCGCCAGGTGGGGGCACGGCTGGGAGGTGGGGCTGCAGGTGGCTGTGAGCAGGCTGTGGGGGTGGCGTGGGCCCCTTCCAGGCTGGGGGCTGCCCACCCTGCCCGCCCCTTGCCCCAGGAGGAAGACAAGGCCGGGCTGCTGGACTCGCCCGGGGTGTCCGAGAACGGCTGGGGCTCTGATGAGGAGAAGGCAGGGTGCTCGGAGGACGAAGAGGAGGCCAAGGTGGGCGGGGCGCCTCCCTGATTGGCGGGTGGCTTGCCGCTGGCCTCTGCAGGCCACTCACTGCTGCACGCCCTGCAGTTTGTCCCCTCGGAGGTCTTCATGCACCAGGCCATCCACACCATCGAGTTCTGCCTGGGCTGCATCTCCAACACGGCCTCCTACCTGCGCCTCTGGGCCCTGAGCCTGGCGCACGCCCGTGAGTGTCCTGGCTGGGTGGGGCAGGCCGCCCTGGGCCCTGGCTCCACCTCTCACACACACAGCTCTGGGCCTCAGTCTCCCCTGCTGTAAAATGGGGTTGTTCGAGGAGGTCCCTCACCACTGAGGGGGCCAGCAGGGACCTGCTTGCTCAGGGCCCCTCCTCTGCCCGCAGAACTGTCGGAGGTCCTGTGGGCCATGGTGATGCGCCTGGGCCTCGGCATGGGCCGGGACGTGGGCGTGGCGGCCGTGGTGCTGGTCCCCATCTTTGCCGCCTTCGCCGTGATGACCGTGGCCATCCTGCTGGTGATGGAGGGGCTCTCGGCCTTCCTGCACGCCCTGCGGCTGCACTGGTAAGAGCCCACCGTGCCGGCCTGGGCAGCACAGGGCAGAGGAGGTTCCCCTCACCGGCTTCTCCCCCTCTCGCCCCCAGGGTGGAGTTCCAGAACAAGTTCTACTCGGGCACGGGCTACAAGCTGAGCCCCTTCACTTTCGCCTTGGAGGATGAATAGCGCCCACCTGTGGGTCACGCCAGCCCCGTCCTGGCCGCTCAGAGAGGAATAAAGAGGAGGCAGGCTGGGAGCCGTGTGTCTGTTCTCGCGGAAGCCCCAGGGGGCTGCAGGGCAGGGCCCCTGCCTCGACTCCTGCCTGTGCTCACACCCTCCTTTCTGGCCGAGGTGAGGGCACTGGTCTAGGATCTGGGGCCTCCACGCATAAGCACATCTGCAATAACCCCAGACTTTGGGTGTAAAAGAGGGCAGAACTAGGGCCAAGGAGGATGTTTCCAGCACATTCTAATTCAGAGGCAAGTGTCTTCCAGGGCCAGGTTGGAGGAGTGTGCTCCCCATCCTTGGAGGGGTACAAACTGGCTGCAAGCGTGTCTGGGACGCTCTGGAGGGAAGGGGGGTGACTGGTGCTGGGCCTCGGGCTCAAGAGAAGAGCTCTGGAGAAGAGCAACCCGGGACACCCAAGTCTGACACAGTGCTCTCCATGCGGAAGGACTGTGGTGTCGCAGCCCAAGGCCGCACGCCTGCAGGGCAGGGCAGGGGCTGTCCTGAGCAGCCAAAGAATTGCCCAGGGCCCTGAGGGTCGGAAGAAGGGCTGCCTACCTCCCCCTGCTCCCCTCCCCTCCCCGGCGGTCCTTCCCTCAGGGCTGCTGGGTTGGGGGACGGCCTCCTGCTGCTCCTGACCTGGGTCCTACCACCAGCTGGGAGGCAAAGCCAGCTCTTCTTACAGGCCTTGAATTTTCCTTCTGACAAGCAGCAAAGTGGTTCTTCCAGCTGGAGGACCCGAGAACAAAGGCCACTTTGAGGCCAGAGCTGCACTGGGCACAGAGAGCCAAAGTAGCCTGCCCCATGGCTGTGGCTCTGGCCAGCTGCTGGAAGAGGCCTGTCCCTTGGGTCCTGGACGCCAGCAGCAGGCAGGAGGGGCTCTGCAGCGATTCCACATGCCTGGCAGAGACTCGCCTCAGAGCAGTGTTACGGTGGCAGCTGCCGGCTCTGGACTAAACCCGGAGCTCAAAGCCTCGCGCCTTCCTGGGGAGCAGCGCTGGGCAGACTGGAGGGGAGGGCAGCGAGGCAGGGGATGATTATGAACAGACGCTCAGTGTGATTTGGGGAGACAGCTGTGGGATCCCAGCGGGCACCACGGGTTGAGAAGTCTGGTTGCCATGGGAATGGCATTTGCAAAGGCACTTGGGAGGGCACCTTTGGGGAGTGGAGGTCATCAGGAGACACAGGTGGCGTGGGCCACCTGCACTGAGGGCTCTGCAGTGAGCAGCACAGGTCCCATCCCGGCCCCACGAGCTCGTGGCCGTCCAGGAGAGAGCTGAGAGTCCCAGGGGAGCTGACTGTGGGAAGTGATGGGCGAGGGCGGGACGTGGGGCGAGGGTGGTTTGGGAACACCACCGTCTTAGCAGGGCAGTTGAGAAAGCACTTTCTATGAGGACACCAGTCACTTTTGATTGGGGCCCACCCAAATGGCCTCATACGAACCCCATTGCCTCTTCAGACCCTTTCTCCAAATAAGGCCACCTTCTCCACTGAGTGGACAGGAGGACAGTGTGAAGGAGCCCATCTGAGGATCTGACCGGGTGTGTCCCAGGAAGAGCAGGGCTGGAGCAGGGCTGGCAGAGGGGCCAACGGACACACAAAGGCCCTGGCATTTTCGTTCTGAGTGGAGGAGAAGCCACTGGGATCTTACACAGGAGTGTGACGTCACCTTGCTGTTTTATTGTCTGGACGTCAAAACCCATTCACCTGCTTAAAAGTTTAAATGTCTAGCAGGGTGAACAGTGAAAAGCCCCTCTCCTGCCCGGCCAGCCGTTTGGTGTCCCCCCAGACACAAGCCTACTCCCAGTCTCTCCTGCATCTCCCAGAGGTCCTCACACTGAGCAGGAAGCAGGGACAAGGAGTCCGGTCTCACATCTGGGGGCTGCTGGCTGAGGGTCCCCTTAAGACTCAGAGGGAGAGGTCAAGGGCAGACCCAGTGGCACTCTGATCTCTGGGGCCCAGATGGAGGCCAGAGGGTTTAGGAGGTAAACCCCAGTGTGCTGAGAATAAGTTGTTGGAGGCCGAGGAGGGACAAGGGGGAGGAAGAGGGCCACGTGGGGCCCAGTGGAGAGCAGCAGGGCACTGCCCAGCCCAGGAGCCTTCCATGGGCACCTGAGGTGCCGGTGCCGGGAGCCTTCCGTGAGATTCAGGACACATCCAAGGTGACAACTTGAGATTGGGTTTTTAATTTTTTTATTTATTTATATAGTACATAATATAGTACAATCTCTGTGGTAGCAGAAATATATGCACAAAAAACAATTCAAATAAGAGTAAAAAAAAGGTCTGCTATGAATTTATCCCATAGGACATTTAATATATACAGATTTCACAGCTATACTCTATCCACGGCCCCACATTCCACACACTGGCTGCTGAGTGACATAAGGGACACCAGGAAAAGAGAGGGCCAGGAAAGCTGGCCACTGGAGAGCCCAGGCCAGGCTTTCCCTCTCCCTGCCCGGGGCCCCGGGCAGAACCCACCTGGGAGGCCAGCCCCCCATGGCAGGCTCCCAGGCTCCAGGCCTAGCGGGAGGAGGGAAGGGCCCAGACAGCTGGGAGAGTAGCCTGCTCCTCCCGGAGGGGAGATGGGAGGGAAGGAAGATGGGGAGGTCCCCACGTGGTCCAGAGGCCACAGCCTCACTGGAGCTACTAGGGGCCCAACACAGTTAGGAGGGGCCCGACAGAGGTTCTATCCAGTTACAGAGAAACTTGTCAGTCTAACAAAATATGCATGACAGGCACAGAGGAGCCGTGCCCCTTGCAGGCGCTCAGCGGCCCCTGCGCGAGCCGCTTCCCCAGCCTCCACCGTCTGGACCGCGAGGGGGAAAGAGCAACTTCCTGAGGCACCAGGAAGCCCGCCCTGCAGCAGTGACTAGTGACTTCACAGTATGTCTCTGGGAGTGAGTAGTGTCTACAACACATCGTCATCTACAAAGAGCCTGGTCACAATGTTCACCAGCACATTAATGAAAAATTTGTAAAATCAACATTGACCAGGGTACCTGCAGTAACACTGTTTACTTTTGCTGTCTGCCGTATCTGACTGGAAACCCTGACCCCCAAATACAAAATGCCTTCTCTAGATTAAAAGCATTCAGAGATATTGCACTATTGCACTATTGGACTATATTTCTGCTTCCCAATCTCGTTTCAGAGTCCTAGTGAAATCGTAAACAAGATATGAATAAATGTTACTCCATTTTAATACAGTCTTTAGTATCATACACATCTGTGTTCAGTAGTGAGACATCCAGAGCCGTCCTGCCGCAGGTGCGCAGTCGAAGCACAGAGGGGCCCTGCTTGGCCACCTCTGCGTGCTGTCCAGTGCCAGGTGGATGGAGGCCTCCCCACAGTCACACCCCCAGCTTCCTCTTCTGGTCGAAATAGGCATCAAACCTCGCTTGGGCGTAGTCCTAGGAGACAGTAAGTAAAGAGAAGACCTCACCAAGGGCTCCTGTGTTCCTGGGCCCTGCTCTCATGTCCCGCTTAGGCAAGGGCCGAGGACACGGACGCAGGAGGACCATAGCCCAGCACGGGGCGTGCAACAGGGCTGCTGTGAAGACAGTGTTTCCGAGCTCTCAGCACTGGCCCTGCACACCTTTCTTTCCAACAGACCTGGCTCAAGGTCCCTTGGCCAGCCCAGCCCTGCCAACCAGGAGGGACTGCTTGTCTGTGTGTCTGTGCTACGGCTCATCATCTGTTGAACTTGAATTCTGCAGGCACTGGCTGCCCCACACAATAAAGGTTCTGCTTTCAGAGCACAATGTCCCTGGGACGTGAGCAAGTACAGATTGAAAGGTGAAGAGGGTGCCGCCTATTTTCTGGGATCCCACAGCATGACTGTTAAAAAGAACCCGGAGGCAAAGGAGAAAACCTGGTTTGAGTCCTGCTTCTGTTCCTGTCATGCCAGTGAACTGTCTAGGTCGTGCCCACGTCTGGCCATCCATGTGGATGACACAATTTCTTAAAGACCCACTCCCAATCTAAAAGTGCAACTCTAAATGCCAGGAAGATTACAATATCATCAAAAAATTCACTTGAGCTGTAATTTCTACCCCACAAACACGAGCCCATTTTAAATGGACAGTGTGGGAGTTTTTTGTTTGTTTGTTTTGTATGTTTTTTTTGAGATAGTCTCACTTTGTTGCCCAGGCTAGAGTGGGTGCCGTGGCATCAGCCTAGCTCACAGCAACCTCAAACTCCTGGGCTCAAGTGATCCTCCTGCCTCAGCCTCCCGAGTAGCTGGGACTACAGGCGCCACCATGCCTGGCTTACTTTTTCTACATATATTAGTTGGCCAATTAATTTCTTTCTATTTAGAGATGGGGTCTCGCTCTTGCTCAGGCTGGCTTCGAACTCCTGACTTTGAGCAATCCACCTGCCTCAGCCTCCCAGAGTGCTAGGATTACAGGCGTGAGCCACCGCACCCGGCCAGTGTGGGAGTTTTCACGGGTGTGCCATCCTGGTCTGCGGCACCGCCACAAGCACGAGGAGGAAGCTTTCCAGCAGGGCTGAAAGTCCCACAGGCCTCCTGCAGTCAGCCCCACGCTCACTCCTGGCACCACAGGCAGCTACTGACCCAATTTCTGCCACTAGAAGTGGACTTCTCATTCCCACATGTCACATAAATGGAATCATACAACATGCCCCCTTTGTGTCAGGCTTCTGTCACTCAGCATGATGTTTCTGAGAGTCATCCACGCTTTGGTACCAGCAGCTCATTCCTGTTTACTGCAGAGTAGTTTCTGTCACACGGACCCATCGCGAATGTTATCCATTCGCCTGCTGATGGGGATCCCGGGGGTTTCTAGGATGGGGCCAGTAAAAATACAGCTGCTGTGAGCATTTGAGCACAAGCCTTGGTGTGGAAATATACCTTCATTCCTCTTGGAGTGTTACCCAGGAGAGGGGTTGCTGGGTTGACAGTAAGTGTATGTTCAATTTTATGAGACTGTCACACTGTTTTTCCGAGTGGTTATACCATTTTACGTTCCCCGGGCAAAGTACACACACTCCCGTCGCTCCGTATGATTGCCAACATTTGATGCTGTCCATTTATTCAAGTTTTAGCCATCACTGTGATTGTATAGAGTATCTCACTAAGGTTTTAATTTGCCTTTCTTTCCTTCTTTCTTCTTCTTCTTCTTCTTTTTTTTTTGAGAAAAGGTCTTGCTCTGTCACCCAGGCTGGAGTGCAGTGGTGTCATCATGGCTTACTATAATCTCATTCTTGGGCTCAAGTGATCTCAGCGTCCCAAGTAGCTGGGACTACAGGAACACACCACACCTGGTCCCTGCATTTCTTTTATGACTTACCATATGAAACACACAAAAAGATGCTTACTGGCCATGTTTTTATCTCCTGACCACTTATAAAGTGGGTTGTTTGGTTTCTTGCCAAGTTATGAGTTCTTTATATACTCTATATGCAAATCTTCTGTCAAATATAAACTTGCAGTATTTACTTCCAGTCTGTGGCTTTTTATCTTCTTAATGCTGTCATTCAAAGAGTTTTTCACTTTGCTGAAGTCTATTGATATTATTAAGATATGTGTTTACACATTGTCTGGTCTACGTTCCTGGGCGCCCAACTCCCACAGCCCTTGCTACAGTAAACAGGATCTGACCCTCCCTGCGCTCCTTTCACCTGCCCAAGGCAGGAGTCTAATCTGATTGTGGGTCACAAGACCCTCATTCCAGAGAGGGTCCTGCCCCACATCCTGGAGGAAGGAATGCTACACAGAGAGGCCAAGAAGAATCTCAAGAGACAGGCCTTGCTAGGTTTAGATCATACCTTTGTTTATTTTTTTTTATTTTAATTTTATTTTTTTGAGACAGAGTCTCACTCTGTTGCCCAGGATAGAATGCTGTGGTGTCAGCCTAGCTCACAGCAACCTCAAACTGCTGGCCTCCAGCAATCCTCCTGCCCCAGCCTCCTGAGTAGCTGGAACTACAGGCATGCGCCACCATGCCAGGCTAATTTTTTCTATATATTTTTAGTTGTTCAGCCAATTTCTTTCTATTTTTAGTAGAGACGGGGTCTTGCTCTTGTTCAGGCTGGTCTCAAACTCCTGAGCTCAAATGATCTTCCTGCCTCAGCCTCCCAGGGTGCTAGGATTACAGACGTGAGCCACCATGCCTGGCTTTTGCCAATGTTTTGATAAGGGTTTTTGTGTAATGTTCATGAAGGGCATTGATCCGTAATTTTCTTGAAATGTCTTTTTGTAGTATTTCAAGAGAGCCGGGAAATGGTCTCATCTCCTTTATTTTCTATAGGTTTGTGTAGGACTAGTAATATTTTTCCTTTTATTAAAAAAAATTTTTTTTTGATACAAGGTCTTGCTCTGTTTCCTTGGCTAGAGTACAGTGGTGTCATCAGAGCTCAGCCACCATGCCCAGCTAATCTTTAAATTTTCTGTAGAGATGGGGTCTTGCTGTTGCCTAGGCTGGTCTTAAACTCCCGACCTCAAGCAAACCTCCTGTCTCAGCCTCCCAGAGTGCTGGGGCTATAGGCGTGAGCCACTGCGCCTAACATTTCTTTCTTAAGTGTTTGATGATTTTCACCAGGAAAGCTATCTGGACCTGCAGTTTACTCTGTAAGAAGGATTTCTTAAAATTATGAATTCAATTTATTTAATAAATATATGACCATTTCATATATTAGTTTTGGTAATTTGTATTTTCCAAGGAATTCACACATCTCATGTAAGCTGTCAAATCTATTGGCATAAAGTTGTTCATAATATTCTTTTGTCCTTTTAACATCCATCTACAGGATCTGTAGTGATGTCCTCTTAGACACCTGCTTTGGTAACATGTGTCTTCTGATTTCTTATTGCTCAGAGTGGCCAGAAATTTATAAATTTTATTGATCTTTTGGCTTCATTGATTTTCTCTATTTTTGGGGATCCACTTTCTATTTTAATGATTTCTTCTCTTACAATTTTTATTTCAATCATTCTATTTAGGCTTAATTTGTTATTTTTCTAGCTTTTTTGTTTTTTTTAATTGAGACAGAGTCTCTATCACCTGGGCTAGAGTGCAGTGGTGTGATGACAGTTCACAGCAACCTCAAACTCCTTGGCTCAAGTGATCCTCCTGCCTCAGCCTCCCGAGAAGGTGGGAATACAGACGTGCACTACCATGCTCAGATAATTTTTAAATTTTTTATAGAGACAGGGTCTTGCTGTTACCTAGGCTGGTCTCAAACTCGCGGTCTGAAGTAATCCTTCTGCCTTGGCCTCCCGAAGTGCTAAAATTACAGGTGTGAGCCACACCACACTCTGCCTTTTTCCTAGCTTTTTAGGGCAGAAGCTTAGATCACTGGTTTGAAAGCTTTCTTCTTATGCATCATAAACATTTAAGCTATAAAGCTGTAAGTTTCTAAATACTGCTTTACCTATGTTCTGAAAATCTGATATGTTGTGTTTTCATTATAATTCAGTCCAAAATATTTTCTAATTTTCAATTTCTTCTTTGACCCAAGGTTAGTTGGCTGGTTTATTATTATTTAGTTATTTTAGACAGGGTCTCTCTGCTTCCTAGGCTGGAGTATAGTGGCCCAATCATAACTCACTGTAACCTCAAAATCCTGGGCGCCAGTGATTTTTGTAGAGACAGGGTCTCACTATATTGCCCAGGCTGGTCTCCAACTCCTAGCCTCAAGTGATCCCCCTGCCTTGGCCTCCCAAAGTACTGGGATTACAGGCATCACCTGCCTGGCCGAATGAGTTTATTTAGAAGTACATTCATTACTTAATTTCCAAATAATCAGGGATTTTCTAGATATCTTTTTGTTGTTGATTTCCAATTAAATTCCACAGAGAACATATCCTGTATTATTTTAATACTCATCAAGATCTTTCTTATGGCCGAGTATGTGGTCTACCTTGATGACTGTTCCATGTTCATGTGGAAAGAATGCATATGCTGCAGCTGTGGGGGTTCAATAAATGTGCATCAGGCCAGGTTGGCTGGGAGTGTCCTTCGAGCCATCTGTCCTCCTTACTGCTTGTGTGTCTACTTGTTTATCCATCAAGAGGAGTGGTACAATCTCCGACTTTAATTGTAAATTTGCCTCTCTCTCCTTTCAGTTGTCAGTTTTTGTTTCATTTGTTTTGAAGCAAGACAAATGTATACACACTGAGGTTGCTTATGTCCTCTATTATTATAAACCATCCTTCTTTACCTCTGGTAATACCCCTTGTTATGAGTGTACTTTGTCTTCTGGTATCATTCAACCACGACTCCAAATCTGCTTTAAAAATCCAAATGTCCCCCTCTTTCTTTACCTAATAGTGTCTTTGCATTACCAGACCTCCTGCCTGTAAGTAGAAATCACCCTAGTGTAGACTGAGGAGGATGAAACGAACAGCCCCGCTGCCTGTCCCACAGAAATGGAGCTCACCAGACCACAGACGTTGTGTTGTCCCCCTACCCCCACCCCCAAGACACCAACACTCACTATGGAGCAATAAGGTTAAAAATAGTGTCTTTCGATGTCAAGGGAAGTTCTTAACATTAGAATAAAACGATAGCCTAGCTTGGTTACAAATGTGTCTGCAAAAGACAGAAGGTCTAATTCAGTAAGTACTGGCTTCTAACTCAAAGTTGGGCACCACAGGCTGGAGAATGATATGATAACCGATGAATAAAGGCCTTAACAGCGTGGGCAGGTACCAAACACAGTTCTTCACTTAGTGTCCCTATGTCACAAGGGACTGAGGCATCCCGGACCACGGGACCACCCAGCACTTTTCTGAAGCAGGAAAGCAGGGCCTGTCGTCCCTGGGAGTGTGGGCGATTCTCAAAGGCAAGCGCAGTGTCAGTGAGCGTGGCTTCTCCCACGCTTAGGAGTGTGGCTTCCTAGGATGAGCCACACTGTCTTGGTGCCAGCAGGTCACCATATTTGGGTACTTGGGGGGACAGGTAACCTTCTGTAAGGAACAGTCATTTGCTGCCAAGCATTCATATACACCATAGCATTTTCCCCTATAAGTAGGAATAGGGTAGGAAATATCCCTAAAACATACCATGTACCCAAATTCAATGGACGAAATCTTGGCCTGTACAATGGACCAAAGTCCCCAGAAGAAATGGGATGCAAGGGCAAACCTATAATTACAAAAGAAAGAAACACACATGAGATATATATAGTATTAGCTATAGGACCGATAAAGTAGCTTCCTGCTAGATGGACATTTTAACTCATTTTATCTCAAGTGGATGCAAACTTTGCCTTGGCAAATCCATGGAACTATATTCTACAGGGACCAAGAACAATGGAAATACCACTCCCTGCCCTGTCACACCTCTAGCCAGTGACAGGTGGACTTGCAAGTGTGAACACATCCAACTGCCTGGCCATGGCACACGCAACAACATTCACAAGATGGAGGTGGAGGCCTCGGTGGCCGTGCTAGTAGAGAAAGAACAGTCTTTCTACACATAGAGGAAGAAACACTCCTTGCTGCCGATGTGAGTGCAGCATCAGCAACCGAAAGGCGGGCCGTCCCCGGGAGGGGGCGAAGCTCTCACTCCCTGAGCAAGAGCCTCCTCGAATCCCACACTCAGCCCTTCCCCTCCTCTCACACACGAGTGAAACCGAGCGGATGGGAGCGTGAGCCTCGTCCCCATCTCTAGGCTGTACCAAGCCCCTTTGTCACTGAATCCACATCCTCCCTGAACAATACCTTGGGGGTTCACTCACAGGAACAGAAAGCTCTAATTCAGGAACACCTGCTTTCATACCCTCGCCAAACCCTACTTCCTGATTTCTCGTGTTCTCTGACCCACTAGAGCCCCTCGTGCTGCCCTTTCTGTTTGTGTTCTCTCCATCTCCCTTTTTCTATCCCGCTGATTCAGTAAACAGCGAGGGCAGGCTGGGGTGGCAGCGTGCTCAGAGGGGCTGTGAGCACTCTGAAGACCACAAAGAAATGGCTCGTGCCAAGTGGGCAGACAGAGGAGGTGGGCAAAAGTCACTTAAACAGCCACTTTAACAACTCCTGTGACAAATAAATAATGTCATAGGAGACCACAAAGAATAGGAATAGCCCAGGCTTCTTGACTAAAGAGATGAATAAACAGTGATCTAGACCTTTGTGAAATCTGGAAGTTTCAGGGCCCTGCTTTGAGAGCTGTTAAGAAAACAGTTAAAAAGCAAGACTTAAAACCAATATACATGAGTTTTAATCATTTTCTAGGAGAAACTTAAGAGTCGCGACACGTTAAATGGCGCCCACCACTCCACAAGCATCAGGGACGAGTCTGCAGGCCCTGCATGGTAGCAGCCTGTACAGCCGAGCCAGTGTCTGCCTTTCAGAACTCCACCAAGCACCCTCCCTTCTCACACGCGGGACCTCTTCTCCTTGCCCATGTGTACTGGAATCTCAAATATGTGAACAGTCTCAGCCATAATGGAGAAGTAGCAGATTCTATTTTTAACAAAGTAGGAGTCCCAGAGATGTATGATTATAAAGAGGCTCGTAAAATGCTTATAATTACAAGCAAGCATCCCCAATATACTCTATAAAGAGGTAAGCTATCTTTACAAATCAAAAAAAGAAAAAAAATTACCTATTGATTTCAAGTAACATTTCTTCTTTTATAATGGATTTTTCTTCACTACTGAGGTTTTCAAAGTCATTCTGGAATGCAGCCAAGTAACTGGAAATAAAATGGAGCTTAAAAAAAGTAAATTGTGTTAGGATCAATGATGGTTAAAAACAGATGACATCCCTAGCTGTCATGAAACATACACATCTACTGTGTCTCTTCGGATCATCTCAGCGAAAGCCTGGCAGAGCCCACCACTGCTGCTACGCCCAGATGCAGGGTTCCTGCAAGCTCACCTTCCCTAGAGGTACTCATCATTTAATGTTCTCCACCGGGGCCAGTTTCCGGCAGAAGTTCTACTGAGCGTGATGCTGTATGGCTCACAAGACAGTTCCAGGAAACTGCTAGTACTTCTTCAAAAAGTCATTTAGGCAGAATAGTTTTTTCTAATTGAATCCACATCTAAGTTTTTTCACTGTCTGATCTTAGAGCAGGGTACATCTGCATCAATTCCTTTCCCCAGACTGGCCGTTGTTCCATGCAGGGCTGCCACAGATATGCCAGGCATGAGGTATACTGATGTTTGTTGTAGATGTTCCCTCCCATACATAAATGGGAATGGGATTTGACAATGTGAAGGTACCTTCCAACTCTAAGATGCTATGATTATTTACACACTCATGTTAATAAACTGGCAAAGTTTAATTTTGGTTTGAGAAGAAATAATTTATTAATACCTAAGGTTCTACCAGGCTCCACTTTTACTCTCTCTATGAATTAATTGTAGACTCCTTCTTCTTGAACATTTTATACTACATCCAAAGGCAACAGAACACGGCACAGCACCACTCTCTTTCTTTTGTAAATAAGATAACAGCTGTTATTTTTCCTTATAATAGCACTGGTTGGAATGCTGACAGTTCTTCCCCTACCACCTTTCCCAATCTTTCTTCCATTTTCCTTCTCTAAAATTGGCTTTCTTACGCTATCCCGGTTCCACCACCAGGAATCGTCATTCAAGTTGAAGCACTGGCCTAGGCAAAGGGTCTTAGAAGGGGCCTGCCGCTCTGAAGTAAACCTGACATAGAAAGACGATCGCTACCACCTACTGAATTCTATGTAACAGGCACTATTCTGAACATTCGTTTTTTACGCATTAATTCATTTAATTCTCACAACAACAAAGTAATTTTTGCAGATGAGGAAATAAACATAGATATATTCAGTTGGTAATATAATTTGGCTATTTGTCCCTTCCATATCTCATGTCGAAATCTGATCCCTAGTGTGGGAGGCAGTGCTCGGGGGAAGGTGTTTGGGTCATGGGGATCTCTCATGGATGGCTTGGTGCCCTCTTCGTGGTAGTGAGGGAGTTCTCGCTCTATTAGTGCCTGTGAGAGCTGGTTGTTTAAGAGTCTGGCGCCTCCTCCTCCTCTCGCCATGTGACATGCTGGTTCCCCCTCGCCTTCCACCACAGGTAGTCACTTCCTGAGGCCCTCACCAGAAGCAGATGCTGGCACCATGCTTCTTGTACACCCTGCAGAACTGTGAGCCAAATACACCCTTTCCTTTATGAAATACCCAGCTTCAGGTAATCCTTTATAGCAATGCAAAACACACTAAGACTGTGTAGGTTACACAGCTGGCAGCTGCAGATCTGGACTGCAAATCCAAATCAAACTAGTTTTTAAAACCCATGTCTGCCGGGCGTGGTGGCTCACGCCTGTAATCCTAGCACTTTGGGAGGCCGAGGCGGGCGGATTGCTCAAGGTCAGGAGTTCGAAACCAGCCTGAGCGAGACCCCGTCTCTACCAAAAATAGAAATAAATTAATTGACCAACTAAAATATATATATACAAAAAATTAGCCGGGCATGGTGGCACATGCCTGTAGTCCCAGCTACTCGGGAGGCTGAGGCAGTAGGATCGCTGAGCCTCGGAGATTGAGGTTGCTGTGAGCCAGGCTGACGCCACGGCACTCACTCTAGCCTGGGCAACAAAGTGAGACTCTGTCTCAAAAAAAAAAAAAAAACCATGTCTGAACCACCACACTAAATGGGTTAATTTCTGGGAAATACTAAATGCCAAAATTTGCAAAGGAAAGAGACAGAACACAAATAGATCGATACTTTAATGAAAGGGTAACTATTGACCCTCCCCTAAAAAAAAGTTGTAGGCCCAGACTGTTTTACAGGCAAGGTCTACCAAACTTTCAAAGAACAGATATCCCTTGCTTTAATAAATTTATACCAAAAAATAAGGAAGGAGCAGACTGCTCAACCCATTTTTATAAGATAGTATAACTGTTAAATCCCAAAGCAGGTATAAATAAATTTAAAAATAAATATTACAAATCCATTTCACATTATGAGCACAGATAAAAAACTCCTAAAATATTACCTAACTGGATCCCACAGAGTATTACAAAATATTATAAAATAATAAGTACAGAGTATTACAAAACAACACAGCTTATTCAAATGGAGTTTATCATGAAAAATTTAGGATGGTTTAAGATTTTTAATATTTCATTAATGGAACAAAGAAAGAAAAAACAGGAGATTACCTCAATAGATGCAAAAAGGTTATCTGATAAAGGTCAATATCCTATATATTATCTTTAAAACCTCTCAGAAAATAGGACTAGAGTGGAACTTTCTTAAATTTACATTGGTAGGCCAGTTATAGTGGCTCACACCTGTAATCCCAGCGCTTTGGGAGGCCAAGGTGGGGGAGGACCACTCAAGGCCAGGAGTCTGAGACCAGCCTGGGCAACACAGTGAGACACTGTCTCCATAAAAAGGAAAAAGAAAAGCAGCCAGGTGTGGCAGTGCATGCCTGGTAGTCCTGGCTATTTGGGAGGCTGAGGCAGGAGGATCGCTTGAGCCCAGGAGGAGTTGGAGGCTGCAGTGAGTTACGATCAGGCCACTGCACTTCAGCCTGGTGACAGAGTGAGACCCTGTCTCAAAAAATAAAAGTAAAAAATTTACATTGCTGTACAGTTTTAGCAGTTATAAAATTCTATCATTAAAATGACATCTGCCTTCTTATGAAAATCTCCCCCTTACTAGTTTAAGAATTCTGACCTCTAGCACTTTCTGGTATCTCTAAAAGTCTAACTGCTCTTCAGCAAGACAACAATTCAAACACACAGAGGATGCTATGTGTTTTCTCTTCCCCAAGCCCTACTCCCCCCGCTTCTTCCTTCTCATGCCATCCTGGGTACTCTGCTTTGGACATATTCAAGTTCATCACATCAGCCTATGACCAGAAGAAAGCCAACTCAGTTTCTGGCCCCACAGCAAGTCTACATTTGAATAGCTACCCATAGAGTGTGGGTCACTAATGAAGACTCTATCACAGTGCCTGGCTCAGAGCAGGTATTCAAGAAACACTTGCTGAGTGACTTACAGAAGTAGCTAAATGCATTCTTGCCCTCACCATCCTTGACCTCTGTGTGAGGTGCACGTGCACAACAGGGGTGTCACCAAGCAGATGAGCTAGTGCCCCACACATGCTCAGGGACGCAGGCTTGGCCCTGTTTAGCTTCAGCCTCACTTATTCTCAACTTATCCTCAACCCAAGGCTTTGGTGGTGGATTGAAGAATGGAAAAGAGGGGGTTCTGGGAAGAAATTCCCAGGAGAAATGATTCTCCTCACACTCACTGGCCTGCCCTAATTCAGGACAGGAAAGGGAGCTATTAACACCAAAGGCATTCCTCTAGCTACTAAACCATAGTGCCCAAAAGATGGCTTCTCTGCACAGCATGGAATGAACAGAGGCAGGTCAGTGATCCCCAAAAAGAAGGCAGAAAGCAGAACTGAGGCTGGGCTTTTTGAAAACACTAGAAGGTATTACAAAGGAGGCTGTGTTCTTCTCTGACTGAATACAAGTACCTCTAGCACAGATTTTTAAAAAGCTGCACTCAAAGGTCAAGTTTGCATTTACATTTAATAGAAAAAAATATCTTTTTTTTTTGAGACAGAGTCTCACTCTGTTGCCCAGGCTAGAGTGCTGTGGCATCAGCCTAGCTCACAGCAACCTCAAACTCCTGGGCTTAAGCAATCCTCTTGCCTCAGCCTCCCAAGTAGCTTGGACTATAGGCATGTGCCCTCATGTCCAGCTAATTTTTTCTATATATTTTTAGTTGGCCAATTAATTTCTTTCTATTTTTAGTAGAGACGGGGTCTTGCTCTTTTTCAGGCTGGTCTCTTGAGCTCAAACGATCTGCCCGCCTCAGCCTCCCAGAGTGCTAGGATTACAGGCATGAACCAACCCCTGCCTGGCCCAAAAATGACATTTTTTAACATAAGCAAAAAGAGTTTGCCTAACCATTCCACAATTTTAAAAAGGCATCTTTGAAAATGAAGATGTAATTCTAACTACATAAAACTGACTTATGTAATTTACCTATCAAGTATATAAAAATTAATCTCCTACCTGCTGTTTCCTGGTGGGATACTTCCGCATGCTTGCTCTGAAAAAAGGGTACTTCTCACAGTTATAATCATACATCCATTCACAGAAATGATTCCCAATGTCGAATCCCCTGAAATAAGATAAGACCGTGCACAGAATGAAGCAGACTTAGTCTGGAGGTTTCCTGTCTACAGAAGGAAAAGAGGCTGAGTCACAAGCATAGCGGACAGGAGTGTGACTGCTTTAATGACAGAAAGCACCAATCTGGTGATTATCAGAATCGCACTGACTGAAGTTATGAAGGTGCCACCTGAACCACTACTCAAGAACACCCAGTCCTTATGAGAGGAAAATGATCTCTGAAGCCAAAAGCAAATGCCAAATCCTGGAATTTAATCACATCACCGCTCCTCCCCAGCAGTGGGCTAAGAGAGGGGAGGGCAGCGCTGCTGCTTCACCCACAGCCACCGGGCAAAGAGCCTCAGCTTCCAGGTAAAGCAGCTTTCGACTTAAAATGGTTTTGACTTAGTCTCTCCTATAATTGTGTTCCATAAAGATAACACAATAATAAAACAACACTGAAATGAAAATATCTGACTATAACGAAATACCTGTAATTGTAACTGCTGTATTCGAAGTCGATGAGCATCAGTTTCTGTTTTTCAGAATTCTCTCGGCCTTCCAGCAATAAGATATTACCTGCAAAAAGGTTGGATAACATACACGGCTTATGTTTTACAATAGACAGCTCATGTCTTTGGACAGCAGGGCCGAGAGGGGGGCTCTACCCTTACAGGGAACCCTAACTGACCTGGCTTTTGATCCCTCAGACAGAATGCAGGATCAGTGCGGCCACATGAGGCCTGGCCCTGGGCAGGGAGACTCCAGATCTACCTGAACACAAGAACATCTGTTCACGGCCCTGGTCCTTCTCGCTCACTGTCTGGGACAATGCTTCCCAAATGTCTCGCAGGGTGCCACGCTGGAGCTTGGGTTGGCCCAGACACCAGCTCCGCCACCCCAGCAGCCCTGGGACTTGGTCCGTTGCCTGCAGGCAGGCTGGCTGCAGCACACCTGCTGGGAAGCTCTGTCAGGGGGTCCTCCCCAGTGAGGATGCCAATGGTGAGGTCAGCTGCCACAGAGCCCCCTGCTTTGTCCTCGCCTGGTTTTCCTTCCCAAGGAGACCACAAGCAGCATCCTATGACGCTATTTTCTTTAGAGCTGAATTCTGGGCCAGACTGGGTTGGCCGATAGCCTGGCTCTTCCAGCACGTGTTCCTGAGAGCCCCACACTCTGCACAGCACCCAGCACCTCAGCCATTGTGGGGCTGGCACCTGTGAGGCAGCCTTTGCTGTTTTTTTGGCCACTATCCCAGGGTTTTTAAGAGGTACACTTTCTAGGCTTTTTGACATACTTGTTCTGTTTCAAGTAGCAATTAAAAGGAGAGATGGAGGCAAAAGCCCAAAGTAGCAGAACAAAATAAATGTACAACTCCTATCTCTATCCTTTTGACACTTTGCCATCATTGAGGCAGCTGACCTCTCCCAGCCCTCTCTCTCGTGATGTCTCTGCCATTTACTATCTCCCTACCCAACAAAGGCGTGGACAACACACATAGCTGCAACTGAAATTCCTACACCCTGCTGGACTTGAGATAGCCAGCAATGATCAGTTAATTATTATTAAAGAAAAGGTATTTTGCCTCAAACTAATGGCTTGATGATGACAAGTCTTCATGAGGGACTGTTCTTGTAATTAAAAACAAACTGATCCTGTAATCCTAGCACTCTGGGAGGCTGAGGTGGGCGGATCACTCAAGGTCGAGACCTTGACCTCAGGAGTTCGAGACCAGCCTAAGCAAGAGCGAGACCCCGTCTCTACTAAAAATAGAAAGAAATTAATTGCCCAACTAAAAATATATAGAAAAAATTAGCCGGGCATGGTGGTACATGTCTGTAGTCCCAGCTACTCGGAAGGCTGAAGCAGAAGGATCGCTTGAGCCCAGGAGTCTGAGGTTGCTGTGAGTTAGGCTGATACCACAGCACTCTAGCCCAGGCAACAGAGTAAGACTCTGTCTAAAAAAAAAAAAAGAAATAAAGCAAGCAAGGAGGTGGCTTTAATAAAGCTCACTGTGCTGCATGGTGCAGAAGGGCATGTGGGGGGGGGGATCTTGTTCCTTTACTGCTTTTTAGATTAACCAGAAAAAGCTAAACAATGAAAAGATAACATGGGACTTAGAAAGTTTAAGTCCTTTATCCCCAAGTTTAGTGAATATTCTTTTCAGATTTTTTTTTCCTTCAGTGACAGGGTCTATCCTGTCACCCAGGCTGGAGTACAATGGCACTATCTGCAGCCTCCAACTCCTGGACTCAAGTGATCCTCCCGCCTTGGCCTCCTGAGGCTACAACTACAGGCACAAGCCACCACACTTGGCCCAGATCATTTCTATGTACTTTTTTTAAAAAAAAACACAATGATACTCTACATGTTTTCCTAAAACTTGCTTTTTTCTCTTCAATATATTTAGAGATTTTCCTATTGATATATTAGAACTATCATTCTTTTTAATACAGCATGTCCCAAAAGTCACCATACATAGGGAAAATGAGAAATTGTAGTTAAATGTACCTTTATTTACAAAATATTCATTACAAAACTTTTCCTTTTTATTTATATGACACTTCATTGGCTACATCATAATTTAATATATCTAATACTCTCTTGATGGGCATCTGGCGTTTATCATACACACTGGAGGTAATCTTCTAAGTATACACATGAACCCCATCTTTAGCATAACGTAGCAATTCTTACCTTCTTGACAGTCATTGTGACAAAATACAACTGGAGATGGAGTAGATTCTAGCAGTGATCTGAAAAAGGAAGGTTTCACTGTTACCTATCAAGCTTTCAGTAAGATGCGAGCAGTCTGCTCTCTCAGCATGCTCAGCACAGCATTAGTGCTCCAAAGCAACACAGGGTCCCTGTGTGATATCTGTCATGTGAATTCTGAAAATTGTGTCATTATGAAGCTCCACTGCACATGCCAGCAGCAATCCCCACAGGCTCCTCAGCACTCCAGCACCTTCCCACTGCCAGGCCTCTGCACATGCGGTTCCTCTCTGAGCACGCCAATCCTCGGCAGCTGGGCCTCACTCTGCTGGCCCTGGCTTGTACCGTCCCTCCCCTGACCAGTGACCCAAAGCAGATCCCTCTGTATTGGGCTACTCTGGTCTGTGTCTCCATCATAGCATTTATTATAATTTGGCATTATTGTATTTGTTTACTAGTTTTCTGTCTTCCTAATAAAATAAAAGCTCCTTAAATATTAAAAACAATTGATCTCATGGCAACAGAGAGTACAATGATGGTTACCAGAGGCTGGGAAGGAGAGCAGGGAGAGTGGGGGATAGAGTGGGGATGGTTAATGGGTACAAAAATATAGTTAGTTAGAATGAATAATATTTGATAGCACGACAAAGTGACTATAATCAACAATAAGTTGGGGTATACTTTAAAATAAGTAAGACTGGAATTGGAATGTTCCTAACACAAAGAAATGTTAATTGCCTAAGATGACAGATAATTCAATTACCCTGATTTGATTAACTCACATTGTATGCCTGTATAAATATATCACATGTATCCTATAAAGATATTCATAATGCCCAGCACAGGAGATACTCGAATATTTCAGTAATTAAAGGCGTAAATTGGCCGGGCGCTGTGGCTCACGCCTGTAATCCTAGCTCTTGGGAGGCCGAGGCGGGCGGATTGCTCAAGGTCAGGAGTTCAAAAACAGCCTGAGCAAGAGCGAGACCCCGTCTCTACTATAAATAGAAAGAAATTAATTGGCCAACTGATATATATATAAAAAAAATTAGCCGGGCACTGTGGCGCATGCCTGTAGTCCCAGCTACTCGGGAGGCTGAGGCAGCAGGATCACTCGAGCCCAGGAGTCTGAGGTTGCTGTGAGCTAGGCTGACCCCACGGCACTCACTCTAGCCTGGGCAACAAAGCGAGACTCTGTCTCAAAAAAAAAAAAAAAATAAAAAAAAATAAATAAATAAAAAAAAATAAAGGCATAAATACTTGTCAGGGTAGGTATGCAAGTAGCCTGCACCCAGTGTCACCCTGAGGACACCACAGTGGCCTCGACTCAGAGATCAGGATCAAGATTCTTCCTCTGCTCCCTCCAAAGCTGTGGCTGAACTCTTTCCCTCACCCCTCTTACACTCCCTAGCCTGCTCCCACTACCCCTCCCCTAAAACCTACTGCCCTAGTCACCAAACCATTCTCTGACATCTTCCTTTCTCCACAAAACCTTCACTTACTAACTAGAGGCGAAGTGACAGCATTCACAGAAAACTCTAATTCCAAATGACAAAACTCATCTGTTCAAATTCATTCTGCAAAACCAACACAAAATACCAAACATAAGGCAAGCTTAATCAATGTTTACTGGCAACAAACAGCTTTAGTGACTAGGAATATTTAAATTTCTGGACAGATGTACTTACTAAGTCAGGAAACAGAAGCAAATACTCACCTCAGGTTTTCCAGTTCCAAAGGCAGATTGTAACTAAGGAATTTGTGGAGCTGTTTAATTTTGGATTCTCCAGTAAATTTAATTCTCAGCACTTGATTTAGATATCTGTTAATGAGAGAAAGAGAACAAAGAATCACCACTCAACTCACCACGCCCTGGCTCTTGGGGCTCTGCCTGGGTTAAACATTCAAGTTCAACACCAGCACAGCCACAGTAGAAGTGGAAACCCCTCTGACCACCATAACCAAGAAGAGCGGGCTTGGAGAGTCGCGGCATTCCAGGAAGCCGATTTTTGGCCTATCAACCTGTATAGTAGCATTTTTGTAAACAAGTCTTCCTTGGCTCAGGAATTGACTTTTACATACAAAAAAGACTTACACATGAGACAAACAGGAAGACCTCTGACTATCGTAGCAAACAAACTCTCACTGCTGGCACTTCCAGGAGCCACTAATGTAAAACTAAGCTAGGACCAAGTGATTTGACCACTTACTTTTCCATTGTGCCAAAAAGCCATTTTGGTTCCTTATTGAATGGCATTTTCATACCATGAAATGTGGCCATTTTCTCAGCTATTTCTGCAGAAATATCTGGCAAACTTAATTCTTCAGTATCTAATCGCCGGCTCTGAAATAAAAAAGAGAATTAAAAACTGACATTTACCCAGGTGACCTAAAAAGTGTAAGATTACACAACTTTAAGAACCAGAAGCTAGTTTTTATAGTGCATTTAAATCTCACCCAATGCACAAAATTCCCTTAAGAATGAACACTGTTGTTCCCACAGATGGTGACCCAGCAATTGCTATGGCACTTCTACAGCGGGGAGCAGGCTACCCCCAAAGGTCTATTTCATTTTGAACCCTTTTTGTCAGAAAGTTCTTCCTTACATCTTACTGAATTTTTAATTTGCTTTCCTAAGATTCTAGGAAAGCATACTTTCCTGTGATTCTGCCCTCAAAACCCACACAGAATAAGTCTATTCATTCTCAGCTAACACTAAAAGTCCATGGCTCCAGCAGTTTACCACAAGACCCAGCTCCTAGCTCTTCCACAGGCTGGAACGTTCTACTCTCATGTGTTGTGGGGAAGGGGCGGTGCCCAGAACATGCTCTAACCAGGAGACGTGCCATGAGTTCGGGAGGAACCCCCTCCAGCTGCTCCCAGTGGTGGTGTCAGCCCCTGGCCTGGCACAGAACGGGTGTCTGAGGGCAAAGCTGAACAAAAAAACAGAATCAAGGAGGACTTTCTCTGAGCCTCTGGGGCCTGCACTTGCCCTCACGCAGCCTGGAGTTTTACGGGATGCCCATGGGAGCTTCTGATTGCCTGAGACCTCTATAGCTTCTTCACATGAACCTGAAGAGGTATTTCTCTGAAAATGCAAAGCAGTACAACACAGGGGTTAAGAATGGATGCTCCCAAGTTAGAAAAACCCCAGATCAAATTCTGGCTTTAATACTCATTTCAAAGCTACTTGACCACAGGCAAGTTACATCAGACCTCTGTGCCTCATTTTCCCGATTCTATAAAATGAGAAGTATGATATTAAGTCTCTTGCAGAGCTGCTACAGGTCACAATGCATGTGAGACCCAGAGTAAGTCTCAAGAGAGGGCAAATGTCTTAGAATCAGAACTAAAAGCTCTTCCATCTTCTACTCAACTCTGGAATCGTCTCCAACATTCTCAACAAATTATCAGGGAGTCTAGGACACATAGGACTCCTTAAGGCAGCTCACTCAATTTTCAAAAATGCCAGTAATCTGTTTGGTAACATGGAAAACTTAAAGCTAACGTACTCAAAGACAAACAAACCTCAATAGTCCAAGTTCTTCCCCCAGCACAGAAAAAGAGAAACAGAAACCATCTACCATTCTTAGGTGTCGCTACTCTCACATATCCTTTGAAAGGCTACAGAAATCAGACGAGATGGAATTCATCTCATCCTGTCCAGTGCTAAAGTGTAAACCTAGCTCATGCCTGTAATCCCACTGACTCGAGATGCTGAGGTGGGAGGTGTGCTTGGGGCCAGGAGTTTGAGACCACCCTGGGCAACATATTGAGACCCTATCTCTAAAAAAACTTTAAAAATTAGCCAGGTGTGGTAGTGCATGCCTGTAGTCCCAGGTACTCGAGAAGCTGAGGCAGGAGGATCACTTGAGCCCAGGAGTTCAAGGCTGCAGTGAGCTATGATGGCGACGCTGCACTCTAGCCCGGCAACAGAGGGAGACTCATCTCTTAAAAAAAAAAAAAAAAAAAGTAAACCTAGAAATAACATGTAGTATTAGCTTGAATCAAATGAAATTGGCATTTTTGTGGGTCAAAAACAGTTGAATATTGGCAATATCATATGGTTCAAACCTAGTATTTAATAGAACTTTTAAAAAATCTTCACGATATAGTAAACAATATAAATACATACAAAAGAGTATATATAGAACTAAAAAACTAGAACAAAATCAATTCCACAGATGCTACAACCCATGTGTCCTGATCGCTGCCCCTTCTGTCCCCAAGACATTACCGTTATTCTGAATTGTGTTAATTTCCTTACCATTTCTAAAAAGAGAACTTTTACCACACATGCACTTATTCATAAACAATTTTTAAATTTGCTTTTATCAGGCTTTATAAAAGTGGTATGATACTATTTATAGTCTCTTACAATTGTGTTTTATCACTCAATATTATACTTCTCAGATTCATCCATATTGCTACTCATAACCATATGAAGTTTTATATTTACAAAATTCTTTCAAATATTACTAATCATGATGGGCATGTTGTTTTAGGCTAATAGGATGGATGACGTTCTGCAGCCTGGCTTTATGAAATGCTGGGGACATCTGTCTACATCAGCAAACACACTTTGCTACTGTCTGGCACGACCACCCGTGGCATGTGTACCAAACTTCCCCTTGAGGTTGGAAGATACTTTATTATTCATTTAATTCTCATACCTGATAGATGTTACTACCTTTACTGGGGAAATTATAAATAAAAACACAGCCAGGAATCAGGGAAAAGGTAAAAGCTGGCCTGGTGAAGGCACTGTCCATTCACCTAAATACACCCCTCAGGCTTGGCAGCCAGCACCAATGGACAATGCCATGTGTCAACTCAAAGAAGATACCCCTTCTGGGGAGGCAGATCACAAAAAGGCCCCCTCTTTCTGGGCTGTGGAATCAGACAAAGGAGTCCCTTCCTCCAGCCCCCAGCTAGATGCAGCAGAGCAACCCTTAGCAGCCAGGGGCCCTTGGGCTAGGCCCCGTCTACACGCTGTGGAGTTGCAAGACACCCCGTGCAGCAGGGCAGGAGAAGACAGAAGCTTACACTCAGTTAAGATGTGGAATCTTTTTTTTTTTTTTGAGACAGAGTCTCATTCTGTTGCCCGAGCTACAGTGCCGTGGCGTCAGCCTAGCTCACAGCAACCTCAGATTCCTGGGCTCAAGAAATCCTCCTGCCTCAGCCTCCCGAGTAGCTGGGACTACAGGCATGCGCCACCATGCCCGGCTAATTTTTTCTATATATATTTTTAGCTGTCCAATTAACTTCTTTCTATTTTTGGTAGAGACGGGGTCTCACTCTTGCTCAGGCTGGTCTCAAACTCCTGAGCTCAAATGATCCACCCACCTCGGCCTCCCAGAGTGCTAGGATTACAGGCGTGAGCCACTGCGCCTGGCCAAGATGTGGACTCTTTTATCAAATCTCCAAAACTAGCTAGGAAGAGGAATGTAGACCAATAAGGATCAGCAAGGCCAACAAAACATGACAGTTCCAAGGTCCCATGGTCACCCTTTCACAGTCACAGTTGACAAGGTTCTAGCTGTGTGAAGCATCACGCAGAGCATGGTGTGTGTGTACAGGTAGGAGCCAGAGCTATTTTAGATGTACACGTATGTCCCTAAGACGTGGCACACTGATAAATGTTTTGGCAGCATTAAAAATGCCTCTGGACAAGGTAGCACAATCCTGGCTGCCTCGAAATTCTAAGAGGAATTTGACCAGCAAATGGGGACAAGGAAGATGGGGCAGATGGGAGACTCTGAACAGTGGGAGAGCATGAACCACCCAGGGATGGACTGGGAGACGAGAAAAAAGAACAGCAATGGCCCCATGGGGCCATGGGCAGCAATGTGGCAAGATGTGGTCAGGGCCAAGGTGTTCTAGCAGCGAGTTCTATAAAGAAGGGTCCTAGAAGTTGAGAGGAACAAGGTGTAAAGGGGAAAGGTTCAGGGTAAAGCAGTGTTGGGAAAATATGATTGAGGAATTAATGAAATGTGGCTCATAAGATCATTATTTTATTATATAACCCAATATTACTATATTAAAGACAGAAACAAGAGTTTGCAAGGTTTTGCTCTAAAAGAATGTGTGGACTCAATGGCTCACTTATTAGAGGCTGCTATCATAGGAGAGTTCTCTAATCTCCAGTAGGGATGTTTTCCAGGAAAGCTTGCCGGTATCTCAAAATCTATGAGCTTCCCTGTGTCTTGAAAGACAAGACAAGGCAAATATGGCCCACAGGATGAGAGCCGGAGACAATGAGCACACTTTGCCCAGAGAAGTGCCCCGGTGGTTATAAACAATCTGTTTATTAGAGACGGGCTTCCTGTTCTCTCCTGTCTGTCTACCTTTAAGTCCACCCTAACTAATCAAAAAAATATAGAGTAACTATACCTCTTTTGTTTTACTTTTGTTAATTGATGACTACCTCTTAGAATTTAGAAGTTAGCCCCTGAAAGACTTTGTACATGTTTGTTCACCTAGATAGATTAAAAGCACCCTTAGGACTTTTGACCCTAACCTACTACCTGTATCCCCTAGCAACTGCATTCCCTGATATGCAAATATGTTACCCTGACAACTGGTAATTGATGTCTGTGATTATAAAAACCTGTATGAATCTAACCATACTGCTAGCATTTACAGAGGTATGCCAGTCTCCTAGGTACTCACCGCTGTGTTATATCTGATCTTTATATATATATATATATAAAAAACTATAAACTATACCTTAGTCGCTGTGTATTCTTTTATGTCTCTCTGTTGCCTATTCATTTCCTCATCCTCTGTGGCGACCCCTATCTTAGAGACTTGGTTCCGTGGAAAAAAAGTAGCTAATTTCCTCGCAGTCCTGCCTCAACTACTCTCACCCCACAAGGCAGCCTGAGGGACGATGGAATAGTAAATTTGATTTATATTGTAAATTCGGATGAATATGTCTTAGGAAAGAAAGAGTTTATAATATATGTTCAAAAGAAATTTTGCTTTTCTTGATTTCTGATACAGTCTAATGACATAGATCAGATTTAATAATCAAACCTCAGCATTTCAGGTTCTTATATCAATGACACAAAGAGCCACCTTCTGTCTGTGGCACATGTCAACTGCGCATTTATGAACAACTCTTACCGGGATGAACTGCTCCAGTCGGCCTTGGGGAAAGATGCCATAGAGTTTGGGCCCAAGTGACCTCTCTGCAAGAATGGCAAACATAACGCTCTCCAGAACCATGGCCTCAGCCCCCTACAACAGATGGCGACAAAGAGGTGTTTAATGAGTGTTTGCTGTGTGCCAGGCATCAGAAGTGCTTTCATAGGAACAGTTCAATCATCACACTATTCTTTGATGTGGGTATTGTCATTATCATCATCCCCATTTAAAACAGAAGACAGAGAGGTTCCATAGTCACAGATCATGTGATTTTCAGGATCCATGCTTGTAAGCATTACACTATATCGATGAGATTTAAAATTCAAATACAATTTAGGTCACCAGGACAATGGGAGTGAACAATAAAGCACGTTTACTGCTTCTGTTGATTTTACAACGTATACATGAGTTTCACCTGTGGATCTTATCAAAAGCCACATAATACCATCCTTTCTGGTGAGAGCTGATTTGCTTTTGGTCAAGAGTGTCTGGTGAAAAGCAAAGCGTGCACAGGGCCCCTGCCTACTAACTTGCTCTATGGATCCAATAAGCTGGAGAATTACTGATGTAGGTCCAGGATCTATGGCTTTTTGGTCCAAAGAGTACCCTATCGTGGAGCATTCCAGGTTTCTATTTTCGGCTTACACACCCAACCTTTTCCTCTGTAGTTTAATGTCTGTCTTGCCAAAATCTCTGTAATGCTCATATGTTGGATCTTCTGTCCTAATAACTAACGTGGGATCTATAATCATTCTGCCTTCAAAATCTATCCTTTGGTCTCAATCCAAATTCATGCCTTTCCCCTTAAACAGCAAATTACAGCTTAAGAGTGTACATCTGCTGGGGTAGTAGAGTGGAAAGGAGCCATGCTCAACTAGAGGCGCACGTGAATCTCTTAGCTTGTACAAATGGAGACTCCTAGGTCCTAAGCCTGAGCATCTAAGTGGATGTATCTAAGGACAGGTGCCCACAGGTGTGTAAAAGTTTTCAGAGGATTGTAATTCACCCCTGTGAGGAAACATGCTGTGGGGAACAGGACCACAGAGAAACATTGTTTAAAACACACTCACCTTACAAAAAAAGAACTAAGAAACAAAGAGGACAACCCATAGGCTTACAACCATAATATTAGAGTTAGTAAGAAAAAAAAAAGCTACTTCCAAAAGATATAAACCACATTAAAGTAAAAAATCAGTTGGTCACTTTTACATTTTGTGGGGGCAAACGGATTTGTTGGTAATCCCCTACAATTATGGTCCAACCCCCATCTTATATAATCCCCACAATTATGGTCTAACCATTATCTTGTGAAGCTTAATGTTTCCTAATTTGAGGTTTTGTGTGACAATACAGATATAGCATTAATCTACCAAGTTAATGGATTTTTATTTTTATCTATTTGTTTAGAGACAGGGTCTCAATCTGTTACCCAGGCTGGAGTGCAGTGGCCTGATCATAGCTCGATGCAGCCTGGAACTCCTGGGCTCAAGTGATTTTCCTGCCTCCTGAGTAGCTGGGAACACAAGGGTGCCTCACCATGCCTGGTTAATTTCTTAATTTCTTGTAGAGACGGGGTCTCACTATGTTGCCCAGGCTGTAGTTAATTGATTTTAGAGCAGGATACTCAGAAAGTTTAATTTCTTAAACCCTTAGAGATTGACAACAAATACCTAATATCTCTATTTAGGTGGAAAAGGTTTTCAACCACTTATTTAATCTTTACAGTAAACTGATCCAGGAGGTACAGTCACTGCTGGCCTCATTTTACCTAAAAGCCCAGTATGAGAGAAACTCTCCAGGAGTGTACCCCAAGGTCTGCAAAGCACCCACAAAATCACTACCTGGATATACGCTCCACTGCTACGCAGGGAAGAGCGTGCCCTGGAGCTGTGGCGTCTCCCACACTGTGCACAGTGCAAAGCAAAGAGGTGGGTAGTGTGGGAGAAGAGGGTGCTCGACTCAGCTCCTAGGCCAGGTAATCTGCCATTTGTGGCTCTTCACAGCCCTTTGCCATCTGTAGAATTTCCCACAGAATTCTAACTCACTTCTCATAGAGCAGAGGATGAAGACACCCAAAATGTCTAGGTATCCAGAATTTTGTCAGAATTAAAATTTATTCTTCAACTTTCCAACTTCCAGCATTATAGAATGACTAAGCTGAAGAGCATCAAGGTTGGCACTGTATAAAACACATATATACTGGGTGCCACAGCTCATGCCAGTAATCCCAACACTCTGGGAAGACATGGTGGGAGGTTGGGAAGACATGGTGGGAGGGTCACTTGAAGCCAAGAGTTTGAGACCAGCCTGGGCAACACGGTGAGACACCATCCCCACAAAATTGTTTTAAGAAAATAGCCCAGTGTGGTGGTATGCACCTGTGGTCCCAGTTACTCAGGAGGCTGAGGGACGAAGATTACTTGAGCCCAGGAGTTTGAGGCTGCAGTGAGCTGTGATCACCACACTCTAGCCTGGGGGACAGAATAAGACCCCCCCCCAAAAACAATAACAACAAAAAAAGACATATATGTGTTCAATGCTAAATATCCCTTTAAGTTTAAAATCTCAATTTTTTACCCCCTTTTGAGACAGGGTCTTGAACTGTTGCCTGGGCTGGAGTGCAGTGACATAATAATAGCACACTTGTAACCATAAACCCCTGGGCTCAAGCGATCTCCCCACCCCAGCCTCTTGAGTAGCTGGAACTACAAGTACATGCCACCATGCCCAGATGGTTTTTATTTGTTACAGAGACAAGGTCTCATTACGTTGCCCAGACAGATCATGAACTTCAACTTTTATATGTAGATTTAAACCCTACTTTATTACTTCAAGAAGTTCAGCATTTTGTACACCATGTCCACTTGGAACAAAGGATTCTTGGAGCTGACTTCTATTTACTTCTGGCACTGGTACTTGGATTGAATACACTAGCCAGAGCTGAGTCAACCCATTCCCAGAAGTGGTGCAGAGAAGATGGAAGGAGCCTTAAGAACTTTCCATTTCTCTTTAGCATTGTTCTGAACAATGTAAACAAAAAGAATCTTTGTGCTTACATAACATTGCAGTTCAATATTTATTCAAAATAGGAAGAAAGAGGGGAGGGTGTGTAGAGGGTAGAACATGAGAGAAGAAAACATGATGAGAGAACACCAAGGTACAAAAGATTGCTTAAGAAGGATGGCAGGTAATCTTGGAGTGTAGTCACTGCTGGTGGTCTTTTTGTAATCACTAAGTTTGCAAATACCTTCCCGCTTGCTATTTAAAGAAAATGAGCATGGTAATGAGCGGGACAGACGTGGCTCAGTCCAACTCCCACCATGCCCTGGTCCAGCCACAGGCCATAAACCATAGCTGGTGACAGATGAGGGAAAACTGATACTACTTTTTCAGAAGAGAAGATCCATATCCTCAACTTGAAACTATTTACTTCCACTCTGAGGTAAAGATTCTCATACATTCACCCAGAAAACACTTAGGAATGTCAACTATGCACCCGCCACTGTGTCAAGCACCAGGGAAACAGAGAATGAGGCATATAAGACCCCTGCCCACGTGTGGCTCACAGCAGAGAGAGAGAGAGAAGTAGACAATAAATGAGCACGTGCAGCTGCAGACTAGGCCACAGCCATAAAGGACACAGAGGGTGACTGATGTGACAGTGTGACAGGGTGGGTATTTCTGAGGAGGCAACACTGAACTGATCTGAGACCTGGGGGGTTGGAAGGAGCCATAAGCAGCCCGGCAGGAACACCAGGCGCTGAGGAAGGAACAAGGCGGTGCATCCAAGGCACGAAGAGGGGCCGGTCCCACTGGAACTGGGCATTCAGGAAAAGCAAGAGAACAAAATCAGCCTGGACAAGTGAGGGACACTGCCGGGTGGGCTGGAGCTTACAGAAATGTCTGGGCCAAATATATTCAGAAGTCCTCAACATGTTGGTGACATGTAAAGCTCACAAACTGGCTGTGATCCCTGAGGGACAAAGGAACCAGCACAGGGCCTGAGAAGTCCCAACATGTAGAGCTGTGGCTTCCAAACTGACTGTCACCACAGTAAGAAAGGCATCTCACAAGGCATAACAAACACATTCCTAAGACAAACATTATACAAAGCAGTACTTACCCTCACAACTGGCTGACGTTTTCTAATATTTACTTCTCTATTTCATTTTAAAAAGCAACAAAAATGCTAGCATTTCATGCCCCCTTAGAGGTCGGCAAGCCATCATTTGAAAAACTGATTTAAATTTGGGCAAGAAGAAGAAGGAGCAGGAGGCAAGGTGAAGGGAAGATGCCTGGTATCAGGAGGAGATGGGCATTCTGTGTCGGACACTGCTGAGGGTCAAACAGAAGTGGCCACTGGATATGGCAACATGGAAATTGTTGGTGACAAAAACAAAAACAAGGCCAGGCATGGCAGCTCACGCCTATAATCCTAGCATGCTGGGAGGCCGAGGTGGGAGGATAGCTTGATGTCAGGAGTTCGAGACCAGCCTGAGCAAGAGTGAGACCCCGTCTCTACTAAAAATAGAAAGAAATTAATTGGACAACTAAAAATATATAGAAAAAATTAGCCAGGCATGGTGGTGCGTGCCTGTAGTCCCAGCTACTCGGGAGGCTGAGGCAGAAGGATCGCTTAAGCCCAAGAGTTTGAGGTTGCTATGAGGTAGGCTGATGCCATGGCACTCTAGTCAGGGTAACAGAGCAAGATTCTGGCCCCTCCCCAAAAAAACCAAAGAATAACGATAATATTAGGGTCTTGAGAAGACATAAAAGCATTTCCATGATATTCTAGCCAAAAATGCATAACATCATTCCAATCATGAGAAAGCATTAGGCAAACCAAAAGTGAGGAGACAATCTCCAAAATAACTGATAAGTACTCTTCACAAGTGTCAGGATTATAAATAACAAAAAGAACTGTTACACGTTGAAAAGGACTTAGGAGAAAGAGCCAAATGCAATGTTGGGATCCTCACTAAATTCTGGGATAGAACAAAAGAAAACATCAGTGAAAAAGCTTGTATAAAATTCAAATAAGGTGTGTAGTTTAGCTCCTATTATTAGACCCATGTTAATGTCCTGCTTTTGATCACTGTACTGTGGTTACAGAAGATAGATTACAGGACATTAGGGAAGCTGGGTACAGGGTGTGCAAGAATGGTCTGTACTATTTTTGTATTTTTTCTGTAAGTCTAAAATTAGTTTGAAATAAAAAGATCAAAATAAATTAATAAAAAAAGATTGGAATCAAGCAATATGATAAAATTAAGTTCCTGGCCGGCCACGGTGGCTCACGCCTGCAATCCTAGCACTCTGGGAGGCCAAAGCGGGAGGATCATTTGAACTCAGGAGTTCGAGAAGAGCCTGAGCAAGAGCGAGACCTCATCTCTACTAAAAAAATAGAAAGAAGTTAGCTGGACAACTAAAAATATATAGAAAAAATTAGCCAGGCATGGTGGTGCATGCCTGTAGTCCCAGCAACTTGGGAGTCTGAGGCAGGAGGATCGCTTGAGCCCAGGAGTTTGAGGTTGCTATGAGCTAGGCTGATGCCATGGCACTGTAGTCTAGGCAACAGAGTGAGACTCTGTCTCAAAAAAAAAAAAAAAAAAAAGTTAAGTTACCAATTCTGTATGGTGGGAATAAAGGTGTTTATTGCATTATTCTTTGTACTTTCCTATACTTCCAAAACTTTCTCTAAAAAAGAGATTGGGAAGTGAGAAAGCAGAGACAGTAGACACCGTCTCAAGAAGTCTTGCCAGGAAAGAGAGCAGGGACGGGACAGTAAGGAGGGCACCAGTCAGTGACCCGAGGGAGGATGGAGCCGGTCCAGGGCTGAGGAGGTGCAGTCAGTGAGGAAGGTAAGAAGTCAGGCACAAGTCAACAAGTGAGGCCCCAGAGCAGATGAGAAGCTGGAGCATGGAACACAGGCAGGGACGGCCCTTCCATAGGGCACAGCCAGTGGCTAAGACAGGCGCAGACGCAGCAGAAGGCTCACGATGCAAAGACGAGGGATGAGGAGAGAAGCGGCCGAGGGCTCAGGTTATGCAGCCCATAGCATAGACACGGGCGAGGCATGACAGGAGAAGAGAGGCCTGAAACAGACCTCCCGCATCGGGAAGGCCAACCTGTTGCAGAAAGTCAGCAGCTCTGGCTTGCATGCCCACCCGAGGCTCGGCACCACACCATAAAATGATGCTGCTCTGCCTAACGGTACAGTTCTCCTCGCACAGTGCTCAGTGCTGGGCACAGCACAGAGAAGACAAGAGGCTGCTGGGCTCGGCAGGGCTTCAGGAGAACAGCATGACAGAGAGGCGGTGGAGAAAGGCAGCTGAGAATGCGGAAGGCAAGGCTCACATGGCAGAGTGTGAGTCCTCAGCTGGCCGACGCGGACAGGAGACAGGAGGCGGGTGGAGAGTGGGTAGGTGGTGGCGTCTGCACTGCAGGTCTCGATGGTCACAGAGCCATGGCTACAGGGGTATCAAAGTGAGCTGTGAGGTCAGTTTCTGGTGATAAGCTCTGGGGAATGTTTGTCAGTAGATGATGGAGGAGGAATGGAGGGAAAAAATTGTTAGGGGCTGAGGAGGTTAAGATACGAGGCCAGAGAACCGACGGCAGGAAGCAGGCTGTGTACTGAAACTTTCACCAATGGACAGCAGCTGTCAGGAAGGCAAAGGGTGGTAGAGCCACATGGCATGAGCCTCAAAGGAACTGGGGTTTTCAATGGAGGGAAATGGTTGGAAGCAAGAACAAGGAAGGAACAAGATGACACCGATTGCACCGGCGGCCCTGAGGTACTTGGGAGATGATGGGGAAAGTCCTCCTCTCAAGAGGGGTGCAAGGGAGGGGGTTCCTCTGGGACAGCGAGGCTTTCGAGAAGGCCAGTCTGGAGGAAATGCTCTGAAAGGTGGGGTCTACAAACCAACAATGGCCATTCAAAGGGCTCAAATAAGAGGACAAAGCGACTCCTCCACTCTGATAACCAACTGCCTACCTTTTGACCTAAAAGGATTGTATGTGAAATCAGAGTACCTGCCATTTCCCAGTAGGTCCTGAGGCAGAAGAGGAGGTACCCCTGTTACTGACAAGTCACCTGGGGTGAGGACATCTAGGACTTATGAGAGGAATGGACAAGAGCGTGTGTAATCGCTGGCAGGCAAGGGGAGGAATGTGCCTGAGATGTCTAACTGGCACCAGCTGCAACCAGCCTTCGATGACTCTTCATCGCACCCTGCTACATACCAGCTGCTGCAGCTGCAGGGAGATAGCACTGAGCACAAGAGCCTGCTCTTAGTTCGGCATCTCACAAAGGCAGACAGACAACCCCGTAATACTGAAAATTTATAGGCACACAAAATGCAAAGGAGAGCTACATGGTACCTGAGAGCATGAAATCTAGGCGAGGACTTTGTCTAAAGCCAGGAGGGCACTCCCCATGGAAGGAGTCTGAGCAGACCCTCCTTATGAGAGAACTGGGGTGTGGGAAATAGGTGAAGGCATGGAGACCCAGTAAGAAAAGCATCTGCAAAGGCCCTGTGGCAGGGGGAAAGCCATAGGGTTTAGGATAACATGGCTGGAGAGCAGGGAATGAGGGGGAATATGTTGTGAAAAGAAGCTGAAAAGGTCAGCAGGGGTCAGACCATGAGAACCTGGTAGGATAAAGCCATGTAACTTGGCCAGAGGCAGAGAGTAAGCACAGAAGGATTTTAAGCAAAAGGTTGACATGATGAGGCTGGGTATGGTGGGTCACGCCTGTACTCCTAGCACTCTGGGAAGCCAAGGTGGGCGGATCGTTTGAGCTCAGGAGTTCAAGACCAGCCTGAGCAAGAGCAATACCCCGTCTTTACTAAAATAAAAAAATAGAAAGAAATTAGCTGGACTATTAAAAATAATTATATATATATCTATACACACACACACACACACACACTATATAATTAGCCGGGCACAGTGGCGCATGCCTGTAGTCCCAGCTACTCAGGAGGCTGAGGCAAGAGGATCACTTGAGCCCAAGAGACTGAGGTTGCTGTGAGCTAGGCTGATGCCATGGCACTCTAGCCAGGGCAACAGAGTGAGACTCTGTCTCAAAAAAAGAGGCTGACATGATCAGATCAGCAATTCAAAAAGGTAACTTTTAAAAGGAATGGGTTGTGGGAAGCAAGAGTAGAAGTGGGAGACAGAAGGGACACGGTGGTAGCTTGGACAAGGGAGCTAGGGGTACAGATGGGAAGAAAGAGGCAGATCTGAAGGAACGATTCAAAGGAAACAATCCCCTGAATTCATGGTTTGGCTACGGGGGTGAGTGAGAGCAGGGTCTCTGAGGAGATTCCCTGCTTCCTGGCCTACATAACTGAGTGGTGAAGAAAGGGAATGTCAGAAAGGATTGGATTTTGATTTTGCTGTGGGGAGAGGGAAGAGATCACATGTTTGGTCGGGACATGGAAAGTTTGAGGAACCTGTGAGACACCCAAGAAGAGACTGCTAGCCAAGCTCCAAGCAGGAGTTTGGGCTGTAGGAAAGAAGTTATGACCCTTTGCCTATATATTAGTTGGCCCAGGGAGAGAGGACTACAGGAGAAGAGGGCCCAGCACCAAATTCTGGGGAGTTCCAACACCACCAGACAGCAGGAGATGCACCTGCAAGGAAAACCAAGGAAGAAAGGGAGAGAGCTATGCTTTGTGTCTAGGTGTTGTGGCTGCCTCAGAGAAGGAAACATTTCAGAAAGGTGGCGTTCATGTCAAATGCTCTGAGAAGTCAAAACAAAATGAGAACTGAAAACGTACTTTGGAGTTAGCATCACAGAGGTCCTGGTGATCCAACATTTTCAGCTACCAGGATGTTCTAAGGTCTATACACAAAGGGCTCAGAATGGTTGAAACAGAATGTCACTCACTTCCCACCCAATGACTTCTCACCAACTATCATCCCAGAAAGCTCAAGTTCTAGGATCCTCTAGACCAGAGTCCCCAGAGCAAGACACATGCAAAACAAGCTCCTGAAATGTGAGGAAAAAATATTGAGACTTTTATTCTTCTTTTATCTCATCCTTTCTGATGCCTATTTCTTGATCATTTTAATAATCAGAATATAACTGGTAAAACCAGTATGTTGACGTGTGCGTGTATCTGTGCCTTAGCTGCATGTATGTTGTGCACGTGCACCCCTTCTCTGTGAGCCTGTACATACTGGGAGAGACACTCAAAAGGTGCTTTCTCCCAGGGCGGGGAGACCTCCGCCCCAATGCCCTGCTTCTGAGCCTCCATGGATCAGTGCTCTCAGCCTCAAGCCATCTAGACACGTGCATTTCAAAGAGTGGGGGTCATTTTAACTGACAAGCTCTTAGGAAGAAACCTTTCCAACCTGGGTATCATGCATAGGAAAAAACACTGTGGCCTGCCCAGGGGAAGAGAACAGCCACTACAATGACCTGCTTCCTGATGAGAAGTGTGGGAACCGCTGCAAGGGGCTGAGAGAGGTGCTGCTGCAGCACCTGGTTCACATATGATTCGCATATTCACATAGTCTGATTTCACCTACAATCCTTTTGGGTCAAAAGGTAGGCAGTTGGTTATCAGAGTGGAGGAGTCGCTTTGTCCTCTAATTTGAGCCTCTGAATGGCCATTGTTGATTTGTGGACCCCCCACCCGAGTGCCGCCACATCAGAATACCACACGCGAATGTCACCCAGACCTGCATGTCTCAGCACCCCAAATGCTGTTTAGATTGCCATAAAGACACCAAACTTCCATCATCTCTACTCTCAGGAGGAATCAGGACTGCTCAGTGCTCACCTGGTCTTAATGAGGTGGCTCCAACAGACCAAGAGCACTTCCTCTAAGAAAGACAGACCAGAATTTTCCACGGGCAGATAAGAGGCACTGCCAAACGGCAAAGTAGTGAGGCTTGCAAACACCAGGGCACATCTCACACAGATGCAGAATGGACTGAATTACTTACTTGAAATTCATTTTCTTTCTGAGCTTGTTCGGATCCCTCTTTATTACAGGACCTCTATGAATGAGAAAAAGCAAACACTTCCGGTGAGATGGGGAACACTGAGCAGACACTAACTCTGCAACCACCAGAATAGTCAGGCTTTACAAAACATCACAGATCTTTAAGGAGGGTTTCTCAGCCCACCGATGTGATCGGCAGCAGTCTAAATGCACCAGCAGCCTCCAGCACTAGTACCAACGCCTTAGAAAGTGCTTCATTGCTTTATAAGAAAAGGGAAGTGCCGTTGAGACCCATGAGCTGCATGTCTCACAGGCGTCCCTATGTATCTTTCACAATTTCATTGTCAGAGGAAAGTCAGGAGAGCACACTCTTCCAATCAGGCTTTCTACAAACAAGCAGTCAGGCTGAGTCTCTCACCACTTTAGCTACGTGGTTCTTTCAAGTCAACCTGCTAGAACAGGGAACGTAAACACAGCTGTGGACAGCCATGGTCGGCACAGAACTTGGACGGAGAAGAAAGGTCTGTGCAGGCGGGAAACCTGGCACAGGATCTGCGCGACATGCCAGGCCAGCTTTCCACTTCCACACTAATCCTTCTAGTTCAGCTGGTCACCAGCTCAATCTGAATTGTTCCTCCACCAAAAGAGGATTGTGAGAATTTAATAAAGTTTCTAAAATTATTTTATATATTAAGGAATGAATACTTTGACATCACTTTCCTCAATGAAATTGCAAATTATTGGTATCAAGGATTCTAGCAATAACAACAGACTAGATTAACTACCATAAGCAACTCTTAGGCTACATTCTTTCTTCATGGCACAGATCATACAATTTAAAAGCAACCCCCCCACCCCGAGTACTTTAAAAATGTTCATACTATCTTTAATAAGGGGATGAGGAAAAGTAAAGTCAGAAACTTGTGTCATGTCAAAACTTTATACTCAAACACTGCCTCTAAAAATACATTATTTGTTACAATTAAACTAAGTTTGCTTAAGCCAGACACAAAAGGAATCCCATAAAGGAAGCCTCTTTAAAAAATTTAAGGTAACAGATTCTTGAACATCCCATGAAAAACATACCTTTCCATTCCACAGCTTTATCAAAAATACCTGTACCAAGGGTAAAAAGTGTGGACAGGAAAAAAAAATGCCATGTTAAGCAACACCAGCTACTCTAGCACCATTAAAAAATACCTAGTGATTTAAAGCAACCACTCTCATCCATCATACACTTTAAATAACATTCCACAGACATTTTAATGTGTGTTTTGTATAAACAGTACATTCTATCTACTTGATATAAAAGTAAACAAAATAAATATCCATGTTCACGAAGCTAACTGCAAAAGGCTCTTAATGCTTGCACTGATACATACTCAATAATATCTTTAACATACAGTTAAGTACATTTGGCACAAAGTACAGAAAGTAAAAATGGGGATATATGATATTTTCATTTGTGTAATCTGCATTTCTCTGATGAAAAGATGTTACAGGTTAAATCCCGTTACAATGAAAGCTATGAAAATCAAAATACTATAATACCTTCAGATCTTTGCTGATGTATGACATGATAAACTCTAGGGAGGAGTACTGAGGTAACAGGAAAGCCTCTCTCCACCCTTAACTCTAAATACTCTCATGACTGCATCATTATCTCAGATTTGTGCCTGGTCTCTGCTCTCAAGTAGTTGGTAAGTTCCTGATGACTAGCAACTCCCACTTTTATTTATGATTAGTATTCCCTCAGAGCACAAGGAAATCCTGATGCTTACTACACTCTTTCTTTGGACTGCATAAATAAATGAACACTTCCACACTGTGGAGCACAAGGCAAACAAGCCCAGGCAGCAGCCTGGTGCAGTGGAGCCTACTGGCCATAGCAAATTCACATCCATGCTCTCAGTAATGGGAAAGCTGGCTGCAGAATTTTAGATCACTGGAGTTGATATGTCCCTTAAAAAGTCCCTGTGCTTTATTTCCCAAGGAAAGTTAAGAACAAAAAAAGTTCTACAATCTGATATAATAGATATTAACACATTAACTGCTATGAGAGTTGTATTTAACTCACTCTAGTTTTGACCCCGGGGTCGCATGAAGCATATATCAAATCTTGCTCGTTGATGTTCTTATTGTGACAATTAATATTGACAATTTAATTCTAAAAATGTGGATTAAATGAATAGAAGTCAATAAATTTTGTTTTTCTATTTATGTTTACCTTAAAATTACATTCAAAGTTTTTATTCTATTTTCATAATAAAACACTGCAGCCCTAGGAAAAGTTACTAGTTTTATTGTGTGGCAGTCAATGCGTTAATACTTTGTAGTAAAAAATTTAATAAGAAAAATAAAGAATTTAGATATCCTTCTGAAATCTTATAACGGGATTTGACCTGTACAAAATTCTAAATGGCTATGGTTATTCCTATGCTGTTATTACTCTAACTGTATCTTCTTAGGGAGATACAGTTAATGGGTTATTTAGCCAACAGAAGTCCCCTTCCCTTGTCTAATGGTGCTCCCAAAAGCAAGTCACTTCATCCAAAGTTACAAATTGGCTGAATTCCCAAGGCAATTTCTTTTTAACATATTAGCACCTTAAGTGGAAATTAACTCCATTAACAATTTTCCCATCCCTGCCCATCCCATCTCACCTCCAAATAAATGCATTTCGTATATCATAAGAGCACCACCATGAAGGCAAGATGGACTTCTGCAACAGCCAACCCTCTGTTCTGTTTCCTCAGTACAGAATGTTCAGGTTCCCTACGTGCTATAAATAAGAAGAGTGAGACCAGGAAATCTCAAAGTAGATCCTCATGAAAAGGTAAGAGAAGACCGCCCCCCTTCCTGAGGTGAGCCAGGAAGAGACAGACTCACTTTGACAAAAGAGAGGGAGAGAACTTTCTGGTCCAGGAAGATAGGAAGTAAAATATATTTTGAAATCTGTGGGATTATACTTCAGTGGTACAAATTTATTTGAAGCAGATATTAAAATACATGCATAAATATTTAGCATGACTTCAAACTTTTCTCTTATAAGTTAATAAAAATTATCTTTTCTAAGTTATAAAACAAAACTAAACATTTTTACATTTATTAGAAATGTGAGCAGTGGTTATTTAATATTAAATAATTATTAAATCTTATTATATGCACATTATTGTGGTCATTTTTTAAAAATCATCTTCTATTGACACAGACTGAAATATTTGTGGAAGAAATAATATGATGTCTGGAATTTGCTTTAAATTAACCTGGGGGAGAAAGTGAGGGAAAAGATGGGAAAAGGAGAATAAACTCTGGGGGTTCATTACCCTCTCCCATCTACTTTTGTATATATCTGAAATTCCCTATAATAAAGTTTTTAAAAATAAACACTAAAATTTCAAGACCTAAGGAATCAGAAAGTCTCAAATGTGCATAAGACACCCAACTCTACACATATACTGAAGACCACTGAATTGTACACTTTAAATGGGTAAATCGTACACTGCCACTGGCTTCCTCCCACCTTCTTTCTTTCCTTTCTATTTTGGGCCTGGTTTTCAAAAGAATTTATAAGTTAGAATCATGTATTTCTTAGCCTGTGATGCAGGAAATAAAACAGGCTAACGTGATAGCAATAATAAAGGAGGCATGATTAATATTTTGTTTTTAAAATTATAGAAGATTTAAAAAGCTGAAACATATTTTTGATTGGCCAAGAACTTTTAAATTTAAAATCTGAATTCTAAAATGTCTAAATTCTATTAGCTAGGAATAAAGATGAGAGAATAGAGGACTTTCATTTTTTCTTTACATACTTCCACACTTTAAAAAGTGTTTAAAAGCATATATTACTTTTATAATACACTTGGTACAAGGTTTCAGATGCTACTTTTCTGACAAAAATCACATTTTAAGGCTTTGTATTTTAAATGAGACTAGGAAAGTAGTAGCTGCTCATATTATAAAGCATGTTCATATTTTATGCTTTGAAAAGAAAAAGAAAATGGAAATCAATAGGTAATAAGACAACTTTAGGGCCTAGGATGAGGAGGTATCACTTTATTAAATTTTGTTATATAATTTTAGGATTCAAAAATTCTTCTACTTTGAATTACCCAATATTCCACAATATAGCAGGTTCTTCAAACTATTTAAGCCAGCAGACAGAATAAACTCTTATCATTCAATCATTTGGCCAGTTCTCTTTTTTTGGAGGGGAGGAGACAGTCTTGCTCTATCACCCAGGCAAGAGTGCAGTAGCATCATCATAGCTCACAGCAACCTCAAACTCCTGGGCTCAAGCCATTCTCCTGTTTCAGCCTCCTGAGTAACTGGGACTACAGGTGCACCCCATGATGCCTGGCTAATTTTTTTCTATTTTCAGTAGAGGTGGGGCCTCATTCTTGCTCAGGCTGGTCTTGAACTCCTGGCCTCAAGCAATCCTCCCGCCTTGGCCTCCCAGAGTGCTAGGATTACAGGCGTGAGCCACCACACCCAGCCTCATCTGGCCAGTTCTTAATGAAAGATTCCTCTAGTACTGAGGGCAGTAGGTTTATGACTATACTGCTTTAATAAAGCCCCATCTGTGAGATGAAACAAAGTAGCATCTCATTTTTCCCTAGTGTCTGTGTTTATGTGGGTGTATGTATACAAATACATAGTAAAAGTGGCATGAAGTAGCATATAGTTCTTTAAATGTCATCTAAAACATTAACATGTAAAACATTTATCTTCAAAGTATCTTTAGAGATCTACTATTGCATCAGCTGCTCATGGGACAGATTTTTTTTAAGTGATTAATCAGTTACAAAGAATGACATGTCATCAACAGCATAATAAACTGCAAATGCTATTTAAGAAATCAAATCATAATTATGTCATAATAAGGAAATAGATACTATATTAAATATAATGGTGTCTACAGAATTAAAATGATACAAATAAGAATGATTTACAGAAACATGGATGACATTCTCTTCTTCCCACCACTCCTTCCCCACCAAAAAAAGAACTAAATGGATCATTCAGCTATTGCCTCTTTAAAAAGCTCTCTAT